CAGTAAGTTTCATTCTCTGTAAATATAACGGGGCTCGGTTTGTGGTTTCGACCGGACCTAGCAGTCACGAACGGATGTTTCGTGATTTGCGAGTAAATTCAGCACGAAGCGGAGCCGAATTTTCGCGGTCCAGATATGTCGGAATGAATTCTCGGCCCGAGCGTGTCACATCTTGGTTTCTCGCCAATGTACGAACTTCTTCCGATATGCTTGAAATGTATAGTTTACGTCAGCCAGTAAGAAATTTTCTTACCAAATCGGAATTTCTTTGAAAGTATCAGCCAATTGGAATAATCGTTTTCGAAATTGTCGTATCGATAATTTTATATTGACGTTTCCAGTGACGTTTTAGATTTCGATGGATTGTAAATTTTTGTGAAATCATTTTGGAAGAATTGGTTCGACAGATATCTCCGTTTTGTTAAAATTATCGTTTATTATTTGTATCGTTTGTAATTTTATAGATTTCAATCGATCTCCATTGGCTTGTAAATGATTTTTATCGACCACATATCTAATCAAAACGTGTCTGAAACGTTAAATATATGTTTGAAAGACCAAAAACTTAAAGTTCGAGCTAAAGCTAGAGTTCTGTCTTTGTTAAATCGGAACCATAATTCACGCGTAATTCGATATTGCAAACCAAATTATTGATTGATTATTAAAAATTTTGAGCTTCTTCTAGACTAAGAAAAGAAATCAGTTATTCGACCGAGTAGCGTTAAAAACAAAAAAATCTATGCACAATTCACTGAAATTTCTGAAAGCTTCTTCTGTTTACCCCACAGTTAGACCTCCTTTTTCAAATAGAGAAAGGTGCGAAAATTCTAAAACAACGTGGAATCTGTAATCTGTATTGTCCCTAAAATTGTCTTTTTTTCTTCTTCTTATTATTATTATTATTTGATAACGTTCTCGCATTTCGTATCCGGAATTCATCACAATTGAGAATCGAATAAACGCGGAATTTTTGCAAGTCGGTTACACCATCCGCGCGGATTCCAATTCCGGATTCGATGATCCGATTCTAACGTGGCATCGACTAAACGGGCCAACTATTAATACATTCGTGAATCAAGGGAATAGATCGATGCGGATCGATGATCAAACGGCCGTGATTTCTGATCATTGTGACGTTTCGTACTTTTATTATTAGAAGAACGTTTCAAAAAAAATCTGTAGAAACTGAACGCATCTGTGTTTGGTGAATTTAAAAAAAAAAAATTAACTAAAAGTTAATAGACTGTATGTAATTAATTAAAAATTAGTTAACCTTCAGATAACAGTAACATGATAATTCGAGTAACATCGACTAATATACAATTTTTCTATTTTTATTAATATCTGCTCTATAAATTATTTTTTTCAAATTTAATTTTCGTCTATCTAAGAGACTAATCTAAGCTGTAGTAATAAAATTTGAAACGACTGACATTATTCAACTCTCTGCTACATTAATGAGAATTTAATTGAATATAAAAATGTAATATTACAAAAAAAAAAAAAGAAAACAATTCCTCTACTTCTATTAAAATCCATTTATATTTTAACATTTTCAAATTTAATTTTTGTCGAGACTAAATTAGTCCAAGTGATAAAATTTGAAGTATTTGATACTACTCAACTGTTACTTCCGTAAGAACTGAATAAGAATTTAATTGTATTAAATGAACAATTTTTCTGCTTCTATTAAAATGCGTTTATATTTCAATTTTCTAGAATTTAATTTCTAAATCGAGACTAAATCCTCCAAGTTGCAGTGAAAATGTTTTAAGCGATATTACGTGACTTTTTTCCTATGTTGTCCTAGTAAGAACTTTTTTCTGTGAACACTAACGTGCTCCATTTTGTCAAGTGAAATTATATTTGGTATGTCTGTTTCTCTTCGAGTTTGGCGTGACGAGAGAATGTGAATGAAATTCGGGACATCTTTCAGTGACATCTGCCTTGTACATATTTTAAACCTCTTTGTGCTTACTATTTGTACTCAAATTATTTCAACGCGTTATTACTCCTGCAGAATGGCACTGATAGAGTTCGGAACCATATAATTAACTGTTCTGTCAGTGACAAAAATGTCACTTAAGTTGTCCCTACTTCTTTGAAGACTTATTGTTAGAAATACTTTACTTGAACTTGAGGGTGCAGAAAGAAAATGCATTAATACAAATGTACTTTGAAACAGACCGTAACTATAGAACAAAACTTCACACCAATTTGTCAGAAAATACTATTATTTACATAAATATTTAATTTAGCATATTCTATTTTCTTTCAGAATATAACAAACTAATTAGAAAATTCACAGTGTGAACAAACTTGCAAACTTTTAGCAACAGTTGAATGAAAAACGATGCGGAACAAATGTTCAATCTTAAACTGTGTAGAAGACTACGAGCCAAAAGAAAAAGCACACGATAATCTATTGATATCCGAATTAATCATGCTCCAATTAGGTGGCTGGCAAGGGGAGGAGGTGAACGAGACCGAGGTGGCGGTCACAGAGAAAAAAGTACACGACGAATTAATCGAAAGATTGCCCGCCGACGAAATGCACGCAGCAAGCACCAGCGACAAGCACTTCTCTTCGGAGAAGTCCGAGGGTGGAGGCGAGAGCCAAATGCTGACCAAAATGTCTCAGACCATCACAGAGTCCTCTACCACCCATACGACCACGAAGAAGGAGTACGTCTCGTCGATGACGTCCTCGACCTTGACGAAGTCTGGACAAGAACCCAGCAGCGTCAGCGTGAAAACTACTATTCACAGTACGGAACAGTCGTCTTCGGAGAATGGAGCACCCCCTGTTGTGCAGGTTTGTTAATTCTAGTGTTTGATCGTGAATTGAACGGAAATCTACACTATGGCACACTCTATGGTGTAATTGAATTGTTAGGAAAATTTTTAATATATTCTGGAGTTTAATCGTGAATTGAACGGAAATCTACACTCAATGGCACACTCTATGGTGTAATTGAGTTGTTAGGAAGACTTTTAATATATTCTGGAGTTTAATCGTGAATTGAACGGAAATCTACACTCAATGGCACACTCTATGGTGTAATTGAGTTGTTAGGAAGACTTTTAATATATTTTGGAGTTTAATCGTGAATTGAACGGAAATCTACACTATAGCACACACCTAATGGTGTAATTGAATTGTTAGGAAAATTTTTAATATATTCTGGAGTTTAATC